AAAAAGAAATGAAGAAAGTGGTTTCCTGTTCAAATTTAATTTGTCCAAATTGCACATTTTGGTCTTGGTTTAAAATAAGTGAGTGTTAATAAACTAAAGTATCATTCATGACTGGACTCTTTCAAATAGTATTTTGCATATGATGATGTGGGCAGGTATTGGCTGCAAAAACAATACTAATACAATACAATCCAATAATACACAAGTTTTATTGTTAAGAACTACACCCTTTGTCTCCTTTAATAATTTTGGCTTCACAGCGGACCATAATATAAATTGCAATTTAAAACAGGATTATTTTTTGTGTTTCTGGGTAGACATGATGTGTGTGTTGTTGATACTGTATGTAAAGAAGTTTTTGCATATATACAATCAAAATTGAAGTTGACTCATTGTTATGGAGACCCATTACATAGATTTATTTTTCAGCAGACATAATTAACAGATGCCAGCTACCAAAAGACCATAAGTGAATGTTACTTGAAAGTGTGAAGAGTGAGAACTTTTGAAGACCAGGTAGACCATGCTGATTGGACTAAATGAATTGAAATTTTCATTTTGTCCAGACTATATTTTAACCTTTTAACATGTTTGTGCACTTTGCTATTTTCAGATCCTCGCTTGTTACAGCAAAGCTTTCTGTTTGAGGTTTTGTCAGTAGGAGGGACATAAGAAAAGTGATGCTACATATGTTCAAAAATATGCGTTTAAAAAATAAAAAGTTATTAATCTCCTTTTGATAATTCCACATGTACAGTCAAAACTGAAGTACAGTAAAATATTTAACCCATAACCCAACCCATAATCATACACATAACACACAGGCTTGACATGTCACTTTGTGTGTGTATGTATAATGTATTGGTTTCACATTTTAAGTTGAATTACAGAATTAAATATATATTTTTTTAATAAATATCCTATTCACCTGTAGCCTGGCCTTAGCCATCCGTACACTCCGCTCAATCATCATTTCACTGCATGTAACGTCTGGGTCTGGTCCCTGGATTAGTGATTACTAATCGGTTGAATTTCGACCGACAAACCAGCGAGCGCGGAAGGCAGGTGTTGTAGTTTTTTGTGGGTGATGTCAAGAGTTTGCGTCGAACAGGCAGGTTGTAGTTTGGCAATGGCAAAAAATGCGATAGTAAAGTAATCTGGTCTGGTTCTATCAAGAAATTGAAGCCGGAGCAAGAGTAATGTTTAGCAAATGTAATCGCTAGAAAGAATTGTGGCGCTTCTCCCCACGGGCTCCGTTAGCAGCAAAGGAGATGGCTAGGCTAACTGCTAAATGCTAACGACAGACTCGGGCGCACTACATACGTCACGGTAAACTCGGATCCAATCGTTTCAATCTGCAAAAGGAGTGAACCCCTCCCACCTGTAAACGGAGCTCAATGAAGCACCTTCAGACCTTAGTATGAAATGTAATTTGTCCCATGGTGTGGTACGACCAGGCTAATTCACCTGTATAGTTTGTATGTAATTTACCTCCTCCTGTACCTCTGTCACATATAGTATAGTCCCTGATTATTGACCAGGGTCACATGCATCCAGAGACTCCTTGTAAATTGACCTTGGTCTGTAAAAATGCGCTATTTAAATAAAGTACCTACTTACTCCACATTATTACATCTCCTCGGCAGGATTCCCATGTTTTTTTTTTGTTTTTTTTTCCTCAAGGATTGAATTGTAATTGTACCTTGTGTTTGTGTGGGTGAAAATGCGTGTGTTTCTTCCATGTTTGGGCTTTGGATCGCCCTACCTCACTGCGCTGACACTAAGCAGCTTTTGCTTGATCACCATCTGTTCCACCGGGCTTCGTTTGTGTGACGAAGATGGCTCATGGTCCTCCTCACCCACTCAGACATACAGGGAAATACATATACACTAATCCCTACTGTAGCCAAGGGTGCCGCCGTCTTTAGCACAAACATTATAGTCATGGCGGAGGTTGTTCTGGCGCTAATTTGCTGTGGGATGGTAATTCACACTAAAGCTCCAGGTGATGTCTGTGCTGTGTTTATATTTAGTTTGGGGTTTCTCACCGACTGTGGTTTTTACAGATCTTTTGAGCCGCAGAGACTCACAAAGGAGCTCACTGGGAAATGAGTGGAGCAAGTGTGCAGCTTACAAGGAGTGGTTCAGTTTTATCAGCGCAGTACATAAACGGCAACCACTGCTCTGCTTTAATAGTCGTGAGACACAAAAAGAATTTTAGGGCTACATGAACCTTCCATTTTCTCCTGAACAAATCACAAGACAATGTCAATCCATATGTATTTATTAAACACTAATTAAAGCTGTCGTACTCATAGAGGTGGGCAATAACTATTGCAGGCGGTAACTATTGCAGGTAATAGCATTGCAAAAGTAAATTTAACAATGAGCTTTTCACATTATCGAGATACTGGCTCTATTTTGCCTGTTTTCCTTCTGTGGTGCACGTGCCCACGCCTCCTTTTGCTCCCCCTCAGCCCCTCCCCTCGCTAGCAGCAAAGATGTACAGGCAAACATCGGCCGATACTGATGTTCAGCCGACGCATCGGTGGATCCCTAGTTCTGACAAAGGTGTGGTCTCAATTTAAAAAAATGCATAGACTGTAATTTTATTGAAGCTCTTTGCAAACAAAAAGGGACTGAAAATTAATTGAATTTCAGAAAATGTTTCTTGGTTTGAGAAGTAAGATTTGTTATGGGAACAAGCAAGTCACTTTTTCTTGTTGTCTACAATTATTTTCTTGTTTCAAATGAGACATTTAATCTCTCCTTTATTTACGCCAAAACTGTCAAACTGTTTTTCACAACTCTTTATTCTTTTGTGACTAAAGATCAATCGTTCTGTTTTAGCTTTACTGTTTATTTAAATTGATTGCAGTGAGTATTTCTAGTATTTCTACTTGAAGAATAGTTGTACTAGTTGGTTAGAGCTCTATAAAAAATTTCTGAAATGAGTTGTGATGCATGTGCATAAGATAATTGCTTCATATAAACCCTTATTTTTTTGTAATCGCAAAGTTGGTCAGACTGAGTTTTGCCCAAGCCCCGGCGATCCAAGATGGCGCCCTATTCAAATGAATGGTTGTGCTCAGTGGCGCTTTGTGACGGCATGGGGGCTGAAAGATTAGCGGAAGTTGCCTGAAACTCGCAAAGATCTATGGGAAACTCGCCTGTATTTGGGCATCGTCTGGTCCTCCCGGTTCTGTGCAGTGGATGATCTCCCATAATGCGTTGCGCCAAACACGCGTGTGTGGGTCTCACACCGGGTCTCACGCACGTGCACAGAGGGGCTCGGCCGCGCTCTGACCAATCAGAGCAGTTCATCAGAGCGGGAGTTAGAGCGAGAGCCAGACGAGCAGAGTTTGTGGCACTAAAGTGTGGATTTAAACAAAACCGAAGGATTTAAGAAGAAAAAAAGTTCAGGATGACAAGGGACACTAAAATCCCCACAAAATCCGACCTTTATGAAAGCTGTAGGTTCTCTGTCAGCTGAGGTCGAGCTGTTTTAATTTGCATTGAGTTCTATGGGGAAAATTTCTGGGTAGCCCACGTGAATTTAGTCTGGTTCAGTCTGCAGTACCGCGAGAATCCCCTGAGCACGTGAGTTATTCAGCTACAAGCTAGTAATACCCTATCCAGTTAATATAATACATCCATGGTTTTGCCCCAGTGCTGCAGCCCTCTCACAGCGGACATATGCTTCACTTCTTCATGAGAACATAAACATTAGCAGTGCAAAGGTCAGTTCAAACCCATTAGCCTCATGTGCTGGATCCTGACACTGTTTCTGTTTTGTGCCCTGACCTGCTGGCTGCTGGAGCCAGGCCCCCAACCTCCAACAGCCCACACTGTTTATCCCTCTGTCTGAACATGATAATATACTTACTCTAAAGAGTCATGATCCACTGCTGCGTGTGAACTCTTCCACCTCAAAAAGCAGGCTCTGTGCGCAGCCGGAGCTCCGTAAATGAAGCGTCCTGCTGTTGCACACAGAGCAGAGCACCAAAAACAAGAACAGCCCCACACTCTGACGCTGTGTGTTCTCCCAGCTCCGCGTCATGCCTCGGGTGTACATCTTCACTTTCCCTTTTAAGCTTTAAGTAGTTCAAGGAGGTGCTGCCGGGAGAAGCACCTGTGGAATGACTTGATATTTCCAAACTCTTTGGTTCACTGCTGGCTGAAAGATTTGTGATCTCAAAACATTATCACATTACAAAGTGAATATCTTGATACATTTATTTTGCCAGAGAACAATAGCGTGCCTAGAAAGAGGAAAGAAGATGGGAGGAAATTCACCAACTCTTTAGAACTTAAAAAAAATAAAAAAATCCCAATGCTTCTATTTCACCTACTGTTTGGAAGTATGGGAAAACATATAGAAAAACACAAAAAAAGAAGTGAGAATTATTTATGACGTTTACTCACGAGAAAACACATAAGCTATTCATACTATCAAAACTGTTAAAATTAGAGGTTCTGATCAAACTACAGTCGCTCATTGTTATGTGTAACTGTGTGACTGATAAATATGACCGAGATTGTACTATTTACTAGGGATGTATTTAATTGATTTCTTGTCATGATACATTTTCATATCCGTCATAGAATCTCTTTGCAGCATGTCTAAGTCTTCGTAAGATTAATCGGGACATGACACTTCTACAGTCTGTTCCAGAAATCTAACTCGAGAGATTTGATTATTATCAAAATAACGCCTTTTTCTTGATATGTTCTGATCAGATGGTTGGAGAGTTTGTTTTATGGTATGGACACAATTTCACAAACATTGGTGTCTGGTTTAAAATCTAGAAAGCGCTTGGACATATTTGCTAAATAATTCAAACACTATGTCAAATTCACATTCACAGCCTAAGCCACACCATCTTCCCAGTTGTGCATAATTTGATATTGATTTTGATCTCCTGCACTCACAGCGCGAGTGGCCTGTCCGCCTCGGAGTGGTAATTAAATGCCTGTCCTGTTTTCTGTGCGTTCTGCAGGGGTCCGTTCAGCGTGGTGCGGCGGTGCATCAACAGAGACACGGGGCAGCAGTTTGCCGTCAAAATAGTGGACGTGGCCCAGTTCACCTCCAGCCCGGGACTCAGCACGGAAGGTGAGCTGCTGTCTACACACCTACATGTTGTTTGTTCTTCTGTCTGTCTGCACTGTTTGTCTTTGCTTTCACAAGCGGAGAGAAAGGCTATATACTTTGTCCTCACACAATTGTGCCTAAAACTGGATCTTTTTCATCTTAATTTGTAGCTCTAAGACCTGTTTAAAGGAGCTACACCCGTTAAGTTGTACAACAATTACTGATGAAATGGTACAAAAGCAACACACTGCTAACAAAATATATAACTGAAAGATAACCGCTAGTTTCGCGTCCGAATGTAGTCCGAGGCAGTCTAGACATGCAAGCTAGCTATATTGGCAAGGCAAGGCAAGTTTATTTGTATAGCACAATTCATACACAAGGCAACTCAAAGTGCTGAACAAGATAGCATTAAAATCATAAATAATTACAGAACATTAAAACGAAAGATAAAAATATAAAATCCCTCAGTTGTATGCACAGCTAAACAGCACCGTTTTTAACCTGGTTTTAAACATTGTCAGAGAGGAGGCCTGTCTCACATCTTCAGGAAGATTGTTCCAGATTTTAGCAGCATGAATCTGAAAAGCAGCCTCCCCATGTTTAGTTCTGACTCTGGGCACTAACAGGAGTCCAGTCCCTGTGCTCCTCAGAGTCCGGGCTGGTTCATATGGGACTAACATGTCACTAATATATTTTGGTGCGAGGCCATGGAGAGATTTGTACACAAGCAGAGCTGTTTTAAAGTCTATTCTCTGAGCCACAGGAAGCCAGTGCAGGGACCTGAGGACCGGACTAATGTGGTCGTACTTCCTGGTTCTAGTCAGGACTCGAGCTGCTGCATTTTGAATGTACTGCAGCTGTTTTACAGCCTGTTTGGACAGACCTGTGAGCAGGCCATTGCAGTAGTCTAACCTACTGGAGACAAATGCATGGATAAGAATCTCCAAGTCTGCTTTAGACACTATGTTTTTGATCCTGGCAATGTTTTTTAGATGGTAAAAAGCTGCTGATGTTACTGATTTGATGTGGCTATTAAAATTTAAGTCTGAGTCCAGTATTACCCCTAGATTTCTGACCTTGTTAGAAGGTTTTAGGGAGAGAGACTGTAGGTGACAGATGACGCTCTCTCTTTGTTTCTGGGGACCAAAGACAATCATTTCAGTTTTGTCTGCGTTTAGCTGAAGGAAGTTGTTTTGCATCCACTCACTGATCTGTTGGATACAGTGAAGGAGTGAGTCCACTGGTCCATGTTCTCCTGCAGTCAGTGAGACATAGATCTGAGTGTCGTCTGCATAGTTATGATAGGAAACTTTGTTTCTGCGTATTAACTGACCTAACGGCAGCATGTAGAGATTGAACAGAAGAGGTCCCAGGATCGACCCCTGTGGTACTCCACAGGTCAGGGCCATATGATCTGAGACACAGTTTCCAATCTCCACAAAGTACTTCCTGTCTTCAAGGTAAGACCTAAACCAACTTAGGGCGGTGCCAGCGACGCCAACCCAGTCCTCTAGTCTCTGTAAGAGGATCTCATGGTCGACAGTATCAAAGGCAGCACTTAGATCTAACAGGATTAGGATTGAGACTTTGCCTGCGTCAGTGTTCAGCCGGATATCGTTTGTAACCTTAACGAGAGCAGTCTCAGTGCTGTGGTGGGGTCTAAAGCCGGACTGAAACATATCAAATGAGTTGTTGATTATAAGAAATCTAGTAAGCTGTAGGTAGACAACTTTCTCAAGGACTTTCCCCATAAATGGCAGATTTGAGATGGGACGATAGTTGTTAAGTACCGTAGCATCCAGACTGCTCTTTTTTAGCAGGGGCCTGATGACTGCAGTTTTCAGGGCCTTTGGGAATATTCCAGAATCAAGGGACATGTTTACTATCTGTGTGAGTGAAGGTAACAGACTGCTCAGAACAGACTTTAGAAATCTAGTGGGTAGTACATCCAGGCTGCATGTGGAGGAGCTCAAACTGGAGATTATCTCTTGGACAGTTTGATCATTTACAGGTGCAAAGTAAGTTAGCTCAAAGAGCCTTTCTGGCTGTTGGATTGTTATCTGTGGATTGGAGACAATGGCGTTTTTGATGCCTTGAACCTTGTCATTGAAAAAATGTGCAAACTCATTACATTTACGTTTGGAAGTTAGCTCTAATGGCATTTGAACAGGGGGGTTTGTTAATCTATTAACTGTTGAAAACAGAACACGCAGATTGTTGCTGCAGCCTTCAATCATTTCAGAAAAATACCTTTCTCTTGTACTACGTAGCACCTGGTTAAACTCGCACAACTTATCTTTGAAGATCTTGTAATCAACCTGGAGGTTGGACTTGCGCCACTTCCGCTCGGCCCTCCGGCACTCTCTCTTTTGTGCTCTGACCGAGTCTGCTTTAGCCCACGGCGCCTTCTGCTTATTTTTCACTATTTTAACCTTCACAGGAGCGATGGTGTCCAGAACTTTCAAAACACTAGAGGTGACAGAGTTAAACAGTTCATCTACAGTAGAATACGATGCATTCTCAAAGTTTATCATTCCCATAAATAGTTCACCCGTATTTTCATTTATGTGTCTTCTTCGTACAGTTGCAGAGTCCACTGGTGGTTTGTTAGTGAAACACATGTCAAAAAATATACAAAAATGATCCGAAAGCGCAACATCGACCACGTTTACATTATATATGTTCGCCCCCTTTGTAACTAACAGGTCTAGAGTGTGCCCTTTGCTGTGGGTGGGGCCACTCACATGCTGAGTGAGACCAAAAGATTCAAGAAGAGAACTCAGCTCTTTAGCATTTCTGTCATCAACATTATCCACATGAATATTAAAATCACCTGTAATAACTAAACTATCAAAATCTGTGCATACAACTGAGAGCAACTCTGTAAAATTATCAATAAAACTGTGACATGACTGCGGTGGCTTGTATAGGACAACGAAAAGTATTGGAGGAGATTGTTTTTGTTGTATTTTAAAAGACACATATTCAAAAGACGGAAACTTCCCAAGAGACATTCTATGGGAGACAAAGTGGTCTCTGAAAATGGCAGCTAAGCCTCCTCCTTTTTTGTTTTCCCGTATTTCAGATTCAAATTTGAAATTTGGTGGTGATGCTTCTATTAAAACTGCATTTTCTGTATTTTGGTCAAGCCATGTTTCAGCCATGAACATAAGATCTAGATTATAAGAACAAATAAAATTATTGATTAAAAAAGACTTGTTACAAAGAGATCTGACATTTAGCATAGCAAGTTTCAAAGTTTCAGGATCAGCGGTTGTGGTCGGCTGATTCTTACACGGAACAAGAATTAGATTTTCCTGATTAGACTGATTAACTCCAGATGTTTTTCTGTTATGTATTCTTTGTGTTATCACTAAGGGAATGGCACAGGTGGCTTCACGACAGGGCCCCAGCCGGGTCTCTCCTCTAACTAGACTGCCAGTGGCTGCGAAGCAGAGACCCTGTGCATCCTAGTGTTTAGAGAAAAGAGGGGTAGGGGAAGGCGGGGGAGGAGGATGGAGAGGCGGGTGGTTCTTGGGAGTTGGACGGGGAGGGGTTGAAGGTGGATGGGTTTTTGGTGATGGGTTAGGGGAGGGGCAGGCTGAGTTGGGTGGTGGACGAGGGGGGAGTGGAGGTGGAGGGTTTCTTGGTGCTGAGTTAGGGGGGGGGAGGGGGGCTAAATGAGCAGGAGGGGGGGGTGGAATACTTATGGGGTTAGAGGAGGGACGGGTGGATTTTGTGGGAGAATTTGAGTTGGACGCCCTAGGTGGCTTTGGAGGTACGTATGGGGAGTAGTTTTGAATGTTAGATAGGACTCTTGATCTGGCTACAGTGGGTGTGAGAGGAATAGTCTTCATCGCCGATCTTATCATGCCTGCAGAGTGTTCCGGTAAATCCAGTAGTGAAGGCGGGGATAGAAAACAAAGGGAAAGGTCGTCCTCATTTTCCCTAGATGGAGTGGATGTAGCGGGGGGGACCCAAGCCGGGTCCATGGAAGGTGATGAGGGAGTCTTTGGTGGAGACAGAGGTGGTTGAGGAACCCCCAGTACAGGCCTGACTGTAGCCTGGAGTAATGGGGGAAGCTTCACGGGAGCTGTAGGTGGGGAAGGTGCTGCTGAAGATGATGGAGCAGCCACTGCTGCTGCTGTATCCACTGCTGCTGCTGAAGATGATGGAGCAGCCACTGCTGCTGCTGAAGATGATGGAGCAGCCACTGCTGCGGCTGTATCCACTGCTGCTGCTGAAGATGATGGAGCAGCCACTGCTGCTGCTGTATCCACTGCTGCTGCTGAAGATGATGGAGCAGCCACTGCTGCGGCTGTATCCACTGCTGCTGGTGGTGCTGTATATGCTGATGGCGCTGATGAAGATGTGGCAGCTGCTGATGATGCTGGGGGTGGAGGCGTTGAGCTCTTTCGAAGCCGTGGAGGTGTTGAGTTCTTTTGGAACCTTGGAGGTGTTGAGTTCTTCTTGAATCGTGGAGGTGTGGAGTTCTTTTGAGGCGGTGGGGGTGCAGAGACCTCGGGAGTCGGTGGAGATGGTAGTGATGTCTGTGCCCTTTGCTTCTTCTTTCTCCCTTTCAACGGCTGCACGCGCTGCGCAGGCTGAGGTCTTAGGGCAGATGCAAAGTTATCCATCAGCACTTTTACTCCGTAGTTGTTCAGATGTGGGCCTTTTTCTTCAAAAAGCTCGTGCCTATTCCAGAACAGATTAAAGTTTTCAATGAAGCCAAGTCCTCTGCGTGAACACTCATTGAGTAGAAATGTATTTAGCTGATACAGACGGCTAAACTTCTCCATTTTTCCATCTATATTTGGCAGTGGGCCACTAAGAAAAATTGTTATGTCCATTTTCTTGAGGTCATCCAGTAACAGCGTTAAATCCATTCGTAACTTCTCGCTTGCCTTCTCATAGATATCTACCGCCCCCGTGTGGATCAATAATGTACGCACACCACTGTTCTCAGATAACACTTTAGGCAGAAGAGTTCTTATCTCAGCAACTTTAGCAGAGGGAAC